GGATGGTATCATGGAGTTTGTGAGTATTTCAGGGTGCAAGACCTTGAATGATATAATTTCTAGAGCCCAAGAGTGGGAGATTGATTTGGAGCACCTGGGGACGAGGGGGCCAGATTAGGTGCAGGAAGTAGAGGGTCCCAGGAAGAGACCCAAGACTTCAGATCAGCGATTGGGGGGCCAGCAGGGCCAGGGTCAGTGCAGCACGTGTGGGAAACTGCACTATGGGGTTTGTCGTTCTAGGGATTTGGACTGCTTCAAGTGTGGTAGGATTGGTCATTTCAGCAGGGATTGTCCACAGGGGGCAAGCCCGTTATGTTTTCACTACAACCAAGTAGGCCACAAGAAGGTCGATTGTTCGATGTTGAGGGGAGGAGCAGTGAGTGCACTTGTTCTGGCTACTTTGAGGATCAATGATGGTCGTGAGGGTAGGACAGGAGCCCCAGCAGAGAGGAGTCGGGCATTTCAGTGTCAGACAGGTGAGGCTAGGACTCCAGCAGGTGATATTGCGGGTATGTATCTTTTGCTTTATCTTCGGTTGTCATATGTATTTATGTTGTTTGGAATTTTGTATCGGTTTGGGTAAGCGTCATTTTTGGTTTAATTCTCTGTTATTGATTGAGTTTTATCATTAAGAATTGTTATATGCCATTTGCATGCCATGAATCATTAGTGGGTCAGAAGGGATTGTATCTTGTTGAGCAGGTTTCAGTGTGTTCGGTTGTTATTCTAGTTCTTAGTCGAGATCGATTCAAGGGTATTGTGTGGAAGGTCTATGGTCAGGTTCAACGGGTTAGTTCTCCAGTATCACCAGGGTTCAGTGGTTTTAGCTTTTGTGATTGGTTGGCCACTGGGAGTGCCAAGGGAAGTGGTCTATTGCTAAGGTTTTGGTCTTATCATCAATGTAAAGGACTTCAAGAGTTGGGTATTGTATCATAGAAATCGTCTAGAGTTATCAGATATGCAGGGATTTTAGTGAGTGTTCATCTGGTCTTCAAGGGTTGTGCGGTCTTTGGATTTGGCTAGTAAGGGAACACTAGCATTGGTAAGTATAGGTTGTAAGCGGTTCGATCATTAGAGGGTAAGATGGATTGGGAATCTTTCAAACCTTGTTTGCTGTAAGAGCTTAGTCGAATTTAAGTGGGGGGAGAACCGTTCGGATATCCGGGAGCAGAATCAGGCGTGAAACTAGGATGAGTTTCATATCCCCGTCGGAGTCACTTGTCACTCAGAGCATATGCTAAGTCACTTGCAGTTTGGATTAAATAATCTACGAGTATATGATTTGACTCGGTTGTGCAGCTCTTGTTTGAGTCTAACCGTTGCGGGGACGAATCTTCTACTCGAAGGATTATCTGAGCCTTCTGTCAAGTATGAGTGTTTTGCAGCAGTATATGTTTAGTGATTTTGGTTCCCAATGGAAGCATCAAGATAATCAAGGGTTAGAAGTGTTTTGTTTGGTCTAGAATTGTATGAGGATTTGGCATGGTATTGGTTCAGTGTGGGCGATCTTTCAGGGGGTCAGACCAATTTGAGATTTTAGGTTTCGAATAGGTAGAAGTGGTTTTCTGTATGGGTTTAAGGATTCATTCTTCATCGGGTTGGAAGGTTCTGTTTACGTTGGGTTCGGTTGCCTTAGGAAGGCCGTTGTATGCTCAAGGTTGTGAGCGTGTCCCTCAGGCTGTTGGGCTTGCCGGGGATGGTAAGGAATGATTTTGAGGACAAAATCGAATTAAAGTAGGGGAGAGTTGTAACACTCGGTTTCGAATTGCTTCATTATTCGAGGCTGTAGCCCGATCGTCAGTTATCATAAGGCTTAGGGCCTTGGGGAAGAAAGGATTTGGCCCTTTTTGGATATGGTGTTATATTTTAAGTGATCCGAGTGTTCGATGGTGTTTCGGAGCCCAAGGTTATAATCGTAATTTGTTAGTTTGAGCATTTATGAATTTTGAGTTCTTTTTCAGAAAGTTTTAAGGCGAGGGTGAGTTGATAGAAGTGTAGGGCTTCTCGTCACCTTTCCGTGGATATAAAGTTCGTTGGAAACGGAATTAGGACGAAGGAGTTAAAGCCAAATGGAGTTTTAGAGTTTTGGAGGGCCATCTAGTACGCGGGGCGTACTAGATGTGTACGCGGTGCGTACCGAGTAAGATGGTCGCGGGTAGCCTTTGAGTACGCCAAGTGTGCTAAGGGGTACGCGGGGCTTACTCCCTTCAGTCATGAAACCCTAATTGTGTGTCCTTGACCCTATTTAAACCTCATTTCCTTCATGAGCCTTGTCTTTTATCAGCTTCTAAGCCTCCTAAACCCTAAAAGTCGACCCTTATCCTTGATCTTGTAGTTTCTAAGCCATTATGAAGAATGTTAGAGTATTGTTGTGCACTTTGAAGAGTTTGGAGCTTGTTGAAGAATCATCACCTGGAGGGGAGCTTGTAGATCCAAAAGTCTCTCATATTTTGCAATCTTTTGAAGGTAAAAAGCTTTGATCTTGTCTTCTCATTTCATAGATCTTCTTTTGGGGTTGTTTATGGTCATTTTAGCCTCTTTGGTTGGTCCTTGTGAGTTAAAGTTGTTTCAGAGGCTTGATCTTGTAGATTTGGACGTTTTAGGTGTCCCAAAGGCATAAAAATGTGATCTTTATGTTTTTTTGGACTCATGCATGTGTTAAGACCCTTCATTAAGCTCTTTTGAGCTCCAGAGCCCCATTAAGCCACGTATGCAAGTAAAGTTGCCAAATTTACGTAATAAGTCATCCATAGGAATCAGATATGAGATTTTGGAGCAAGGACTTAAGTGGCTAAGTGCTTAATGGAGAAGAATGGGATTCAGGGGAGTACGTTGGGCGTACCAGCTGAGTACGTGGGGCGTACTCGACCTGCTTGGCATTTATTGTTTTGTTGACTTGTTGTCCATGGATCGTTGACCAGAAGTTTGACTAGGGTTGACCATTGGATATTTTGAACCTTGTAGGATATTGGGCCTTCTCGGGTTAGGCCCATGATGGGTTTGGGTCAAATTTGGATATTTGGGCCTTATTGGGCCTTGTGGTGTCATTTCGGGTTTGGGCTATCTCTTGGGCTTGGTTGCTTGGGGCATTGTTAGGCCATCTGAGAATAAGTGTTTTAGAATAGGGGAAAGTTAATGGGATTTAGTGTAAGGTCCATGTAAGGGTTGGGCCCAATTTGGAAAATTGGGCCATAAGTGGGCTTTGGATGATTATTTGGTTTGTGGGCCTTTTTGATTTGGGAGTTTGGGCCTTAGTCTTGGACCAAACTAGGTGAGGGGTAAAATTGTCTTTTTACCCCATATATGGATTATTGGATTTGAAGTGGAACCCGAGTGATAATTGAATGTTATTCATGTTTGCTAGCGCAGGGATTCTAGCGGATCTGCAGTCAGAGATTTATTTTTGGGTTCGACTATCGAGGTGAGTCTCCTCACTGTACTATGGGTCGAAGGCACCAATGTCAGCCCATGGTTTATGTATTATAGGAAGACTAGGGGGTGGCCCTTGGCATTTGTATGAAAGACCAGGAGGTGGCTCCTGGCAGATCTGTATGCCAGACCAGAGTTTGGACTCTGGCAGTTAAGTAGATAAGTAGTTGGAGATTATATGCTAGTTGTCTTTGTGATGCTTTCATGGAAGACCAGGAGGTGGCTCCTGGCACTTGTCTGTAATACCTAGGGTTTTGGTTCCCGTCTTGGAAAGGAAAGACCACGATACTGCTCGTGGTATAATGGCAAGACTATGGTTGGCACATAGCACTTCGTATTGCATGTTGATATGTATGACTCATATGTTATGTATGGTATGTGGTATTTTGGGTAACTCACTAAGATTTGTGCTTATAGTTTGTGGTTTATGGTTTCGGGTACTTCCGGTTCGAAATGGGAGGGTCCGGCTTGATCGCAGCGCACACACCCGTGCTTTCCGTAACTCGTGATTTTAGGAATTTACTTTGATAATTGTTTTTATTTGAAATACTTCTAAATGTCTGAATAAAGGATAAATGACTGTTTGATTCTATTAAAAATGAAATGTTTATCCTGTGATTTTCTATACGTTACATATAACAACTATTAAGTTTTTATTCCGTGTACGCTACAAAAAGCTTTTTTTAGTGCACACTGTCGCTTATGTAGACCAGTCATACGATACTCATATACATATATGTATTAGGCTATAAGGAATACATGACACATGAATTGTGCCACCTCACACAACACATATTCCACCACACAAAAAATACCAAAAAAAATCAAGTCACTAATATATAGAAATGGTGTTTAGGTCGTAGAGAAGGAGTGAAATAAAGAGGGAAAGAGAGAAAACAGATAGGAAGAAGAGAGAGATAGACATAGTAGGTCTTCCTCTCTCCCTTGTAAAGCATCATAGCAGGTCTCACGAGACACCACACTTACACAAGGCAGGGGTGGTGTTGACGCTTAACTCACACGTGACTTGCCCTTGCCAAGTCATCTCAAGGAGCAATCACCGGACCAAACCACTCCATATAGCCTTAGGGGCAACATTTGTCCCCCCCTTATTTCCCTAAAATCTTATAGTGATAATGATAAGCCTTTCAAAAGGTCTTCAATTCATGTCATCCCCTTTAAGTCATGTCACCTTTGTCATTCAATATTTGCAAGTAATGTCATCCACTTTAACCCGACTTTATTATTATTTTCTTTCATATCACTATATATATATATATTATTACTAAATAATTTATATTACATAATTTTTAATATTATTTATATTTGTTTGTCAAGTTATGTTATCACACTAATATATATATATATATATATATATATATATATATATATATATATATATATATACCCACACACACACACATAAATATTTTGATGAATATTTATTAGAAAATAAACAATTAAGATTTGGTAAAAGTTATAGAATTGTTATTGATATGTCATGGGTACTTCTGAAAAAGTGTTGGGTATTTCACTGTTATGAGGGATAATTGATTTAACGAGAATTGAAATTACCCGCAGTTGTATACTACATTGCGGATTATGTCAACTCCACTTCTGGTGCCAACAACAGGATGGAAGCACTCATTCATAACCGAAAGTGCAACAACCAATTTGTAACTACTACATTTGATCTTTTTGATATCAGTCTCTAGATCCTCGCTACACTTAAGAAGAGTGAAGGAAAATCCTTCTCCAATTCCAATCTTCACTCCAAGCATCGCCTGCAGTCTCGCATAGATCTATATATCAACAGAAAAAAGGTTAGTCACTTAATGTCACATATAACCAAAAAACAAACCAGTTCAATCTGATCCGGTTCTGAATCAGAAACAGATCAGTAATTACTTTTTTATTGTTCAAATTTTAAATGACATTATTTTAGGTCGATACCTCATGACATGTCTTTCCACAGAGAAATAGATCAACATAGTCTATTTTTGCAACATTTGTTTGTCCGCACGTTTTATGGACTATAACACACACACACACATCATTAGCAAGATTCACTAGATTTTGAAACCAAAATGGAAAGAAACTGAATCCTGATTACTGATATATCTGTTTCGGGCGGGGCCCGATGCCAGGTGGGGCCCATTATATGTTTGATATGTTTTGTATGTGGTATTTTTGGGAACTCACTAAGCTTTGTGCTTACGGTTTTTAGTTTGTGTTTCAAGTACTTCTGGTTCGAAGGGGAAGAGCCCGGGATGATTGCAGTGGACACACCACATTATTCCGTATTTTTATTACTCTGATGTACTTGGATGTTTATTGATACTCTGATTCATTATGGTTTGTAACGACCCAAAAATCAAGGGTAAAAATTTCACTTTTATTATAGTCAAAACACAAATATCATTTAATCCAAACCTTCCAAAAACGTTGCTAATTAAAAACATTTATCAGAGCTCATCCCAAAATCACATATTGCGGAAAACACGGGTATGTGCGCTGCGATCAAGCCGGGCCCTTCCTTTCCAAACTGATGATACCTGAAACCATAAACAAAACTGTAAGCACGAAGCTTAGTGAGTTCCCCAAAGCATACCCCGCATAATCCACATAATCACATAAACCATATCAATCACATAAGCCATGCATATAACATATAGGGATGTCGTGGGCTCACCCCAGGGTCTTACTCCAGGATGCCATGGGCTCCCCCCAGGGCCTTACACCTATGTGCCATGGGCTCCCCCATGGTCTTTACTTGGAATGCCATGGGATCCCCCACATGGTCTGATATCCAAGTGTCATGGGTTGCCCCACATGGTCTGATATCCAAGTGTCACATGCTCCCCCCGGGGTCTTCCATGCAATTATCACAGAGACAACTATCATACCACATAACACATAATCAACTAGCATACCACATATCACATAATGGCTAGCATACCACATAATACATAATCAACTAGAATACCACATATCACATAATGACTAGCATACCACATAACACATAATGGGTCGGGATTGGTGCCTTCGACCCATTGGTATGGTGAGGAGACTCGCCTCGAATGCAAAAGCATCCCGACTGAAATCCTTAGTTGCTGCCCCGCCAGCTTCCCGAGCTGTCACTACCAATCAATATACCCAATTAGCAATTGGGTTCCATGCTATAATCCTTAATCTATATATGGGGTAAAATGACAATTCTACCCCTGACACTGTATGATCCAAAACTAAGGCCCAAGCCCAAAACAAAAGCCCAGCACTATAATGTCCATAAATCCATCAGTGGCCCAATTTTTCAAATTGGGCCCCAACCCCTTACGGGCCTTATCCTAAGCCCATAATCTCCTTCATTATAATTTGGTTTACTCCAAGAACCCCTTGGGACTAACTTGTTCAAAGTCAAAGTCAAAGTCAACGCTCCGAGTTGACTTAACTCGTCGAGTTACCTATCAACTCATCAAGTCCACCCCACAGTCAGAATCGTGATATTGCGATCCAACTTGTCGAGTTCCTCTGTTTCCAACAGATGTGGGATAATCCCAAACCAACTCGTCGAGTTCACCCATGAACTCGTCGAGTTCTTCAGTCTGCCAACTCAATTAATGCATTAAGTCCTTTTTCTTGAATTCAAAGTTTCCAAACCTCGGATCCCTATCCTTAGAAATGTCTAGAAGGGTAAAGTTTCCAACTTTACCCCTAAGGATCATATAATAAGCTCTAAACCCAAACCCTAGTTCCCTTAAGGAGGGTCTTGACCCATTAAGCCCTTAAACTCTCACTCCAATGTCCCAGAACACAGATCTGATGTACTAAGGTGGTTTAGTCACGTAAAGTTTCCAACTTTACGTTCATGCATGCTTGTAACACCCTCTATGGTCCATTTTTGGCTTCATAATGGACATATTTCATGAATGGGACATGGAGGCTATTAAAGTTTGCAACTTTAATCCTCTAGAGGTCATGTAGGGGCCAGATCTACATCCTTAACCCATGGAAACCTCTTTTCTTTGGATACTCAAGTCAAAGTCCCAAAACCAAGTCAAAACTATAGGATATGAGATCTAATAAACTACATGTCAAGGTTCTGACTTTATACCTCAAAGATATAGTCGTTGATGTAGAGTTTCTGTATCCAAGATCACTCCTCCAAGCTTGCTACTTCTCTCTTCAATACTTCCTTCAATAATCACTCTAAAACTCTCAAAACTCAATGAACAAGTGGGGAAAACGATCTAGGGTTTCTTCTGGGCAAGGGAGGCTGGTAAGGAGGCCAGCCCTAGAAGTTAAGTCCTTTAAATAGGGTACAATACCCGAAAATTAGGGTTTTCATTTCCAGCGTCAGCTCGTCGAGTTGGGGCTCCCCAACTCGTCGAGTAGGTCCTCCAATCCACGCAGCTGGAAAGCTTTCTACTCGACGAGTTGGAGCCTCCCACATCATCGAGTTCCTTGCAATACTTTAAATTAAATTCATACCCTTTGGTCCAAAAACTCCAACTGAATACCCGAGCAGCCAAGATACATTATCTAACTCGAACCAGGTCCAAAACCCAACTCCTCGAGGTTCCGAAGCCTGAAAATACCCAACCCTTTGATCACCAATTCAAAATGGGGACAATTTGAAACAGGATGTTACATGGTTTCTATGATGTTGTTTTGAATAATGGTTTATTTAATTTAAAAATCAACATTTTTAGTCTTAATTTTTGGGATGTTACACTTATGAACATCATCAATAAATAAGAAAACAATAGGGTAGCACATTGTACTTGATTTCTTAATTCAAGAGTGATATTCAGTTATGCAGGAAAAAAAAATTCTCAGTAGTAAAATTCAATCGTAGCCAAATTATTCAAAAGAAATCGATTATAGATGTTGAGATAATCAGAAATCAAATGCAACTATACCGAACTTGAATTAAGAGAACGCATATCCGATTCCACTAGTGAATTTTCAGAACTGGGAATTCTTAATCGGAAAGAACTTACCAGCTTGGTTCAAATAAAATGCAAAGAAATACCTCCAAACAAATTGCAATCATCGATTTTTCAGAAATGACGTTCACAAAATCATTTATCCAAAACCAAATACATAAAATCGATTAAATAAAAAGACGAGTTCATTAGAAGAAAAAGAAACTTACGGGTTAGTTGGAGAATGAGAATCGTCCATGGTTCGAGTCTGGCGATCGATTGGAGAAGAAAATTATCCGTGGTCATGGGTCTGGAAACTTGATGATCGACAGTGGAGAGTTTAGGGCTCGGACCGTGGAGAGTTTAGGGCTCGATGTGAATTGGCATTGGGCACCATTAGGGTTGATGTTTATATTGTGCGTTAGGTTGATGATGGTCGGCATGGTGGGTTTCTTCTCCTGGTATCATGAAGGAGTCGATGGTGAGGATTGAAGAAGTAAATTATGGAAAAAATAAAACAGATTACTCTTGATTCTACAAGATTCTTGACGATTTAACTCTCCGATATTAAGGGTTTTGAATGTTACTGTGTGCAAGAATATGAGGACGAATGGTGAGTGTTTTTGCAGGGTTAACAAACTAATTTCCCTAATTTAAAGGACATTAAATGTTTTAAATATTTACCAAAATTAAATGTACCCAAGATTACTATTATACCCTTTTATGATTTATTATTGAATTTATTTTTTCTTAATTCTGATGGATTGTTAGAGGCACACAATACTTGTTGAAAACATTTGAACATAACTCTCTCTCTCTCTCTCTCTCTCTATATATATATATATATATATATATATATATATATATATATATATATATATATATATATATATATATAGGCCTAGGTTATTCTATTCAAAGTAATTATTGTGTTATTGTATGCATAAATGTGGGCCAATCAAATTTACTTATTTTAAGAAAGTGATTAATATATATTATTGAATTAAATATAATTGAAAATATCATCTTAATTAATTACAAGGGTAATTTAGTCAATTAATATAGATTTAATAAAGGAAAATTGCATTTTTTAAGGGATCATAGATTCTATTAATTTTAAAAATCCGATTTTACGTATTATAATTTTTTTAATTCGGACATTATATGTTTATGAGTATATTCAAAAATAAAAATATTCTTGAACCATAAATAATAAAAATATTCTTGAACCTATTTCTTGATCATGAATTTAAAAGCTTCTTGTAGAATAACAAATCCTTGAATAATCAATTGAAGAATAAAAACAAAAAACACATTATTTCTTATAGAATACGGGTAACAATTGTTAAGAATTACATTTATTGTTAAGGAATAAAACTAAAAAACAATCAAAATGGGAAAGAAAACATCAAAATCTAACAACGACTAATACATTCTAAAAGAATAATGTGGTCCGTTTCAATTTTGTGGTCTGTTCTTCAAGCATCAATATCTGTGATTCCAACAGAATTGGAATTCGTCTTTCCATTCCAATAGAATTGGAATTCGTGATTCCATTCCAATAGAATTGGAATCTCACCAATATCATCCATTGAATTATCTACATAAACACTCTTCCATTCTCTATTCTTTTCTGCATCGATTCACAATCAATATTTAATATAAAAGAAAAATCACCCCTGCATTCCTTCTCTTCTTCGTTTTCAGTCAAGAACACACCACCGAAGTGTATGTTTTCTAGTGAAAACCTGAATGAAGAGTGTCTTGAAAAGGGTCTCAGCAAAAGCAGTGATGTTGGCAATGACAACATTGAGCTTCAAAGATTCAAAAACCTCACAAATCTTGACCATCATGTCTCTTCTTTTCTTGCATTTTAAACTCACCAATGCTATCTTCTCTCCCACGTATGACACTTTTAACTGTTAATTAACAGTTTAACACAATCATCAATTTGAGATAAAATCATGAGAGTACGTAAAAACAGTTCAAGACTTTGACTTACTCCAATAATTTCAATCGGAAAGGCCCTTGAATCACTTGTATCTGGAGATTGCTGAATCCTTTTCTTCTTTGAATTTACCGTTGACATGAACACTGTGTCCTGATCAAAATCGTAAACCCCAGATTCTGATTTTTGAGACTCTAGTTTCATTATCTCCTCTTGAATAATCCTCCCTTGGAGGCCGCCGACGACTGAGTTCCGTCCGGCGAACTTGAATCACAGTAGTCGGAAAATGTTTCCTCCAATCCGCCCAACTGTTTTTCAGAAATTGCAGAAGAAAACGATGGATTTAGGTTTAAACAACAAACAGAAAATGAGAAGATCATATGATTAGTTAATTAGTATGATTACCTATCGAATTCTTCGGTTTGGAGAAACATATTGGTCTCCCAATAGTTTTTATACTCACCTGCGCCGCTGCTTCGCTGCTCCTTGTCGAGAGCTCCGTTTCTAGGGTTTGTAATTCGAGAGCAGCTTGAGCTTCGTCGTCCGACTCCGAGCCAGAATCGGAACTTGATGCAGGCTGGAATAAAGGGGAAATGACGGCTGGAGGGACAAGGGTGGGGGTGTCGATTTGTTCAATTTAGGGTTTTCAGAAATCGGTTTTTAGATAAAGAGGGGAAGGAGATTTAAACTGGAGAGATACCATGATTATAGGGATTATTTTTGGAAGTTATTAAACAAATGACTAAATTACCCTTATTTATTTATTTAATTATTTAATTTTGATTGGCCCACATTTATGCATACGATAACACAATACTTAGTTTAAACAAATGAACCTAGCTCTCTCTCTATATATATATATATATATATATATATATATATATATATATATATATATATATATATATATATATATATATATATATATATATATATATTGTAACACTCTTCACCCTGTTACTTTGAAAATACACATTTAAATTAAAATTAGGGTTGTAAGCGAACTGAACGAACACGGACGATGGTTGTTCTTGTTCATTCGTTTAGGTTGGCCGAAAAAACACGAAAAAGAACGATTTTTCTTGTTATGTTCGTGTGTTTAACAAATTACATTGTTCATGTTTGTTCGTTTATGTCTGTTAACATGCTAAACGAATATAAACGAACATAGATAAACAAACATAATTGATTATATATTAAAACAAACATATAATATAGGGCTTCTCATTCGTTTCCCGTTTGCCTTCTCATTCGTTGTACGATGATAACTAAAATTGTATGAGTTAGTTTCTAGATCGAACGTAAATTTTGAACCAAAATATAATATAGTAATGTTATCATACATAATTGAGCATGTACGAAAATAAAAGGAACTTAAATGAAAGAACATAAATAAAATAACATAAACAAACGTTCATGAACATAATTGAACGAACACAACCATTTTTCATCTTCGTTCATTTAACTAAACGAACAAGAATTTGTATTCATGTTCGATCATTTATTAAATAAACAAACATAAACGAACTTCCCGCCAAACGGTTCACGAACAGTTCATTGAACGTTTAGATAACTTGTTTTAGTTAAAAATAAAAAGTTTTAAAGTTTTAAAGTTTTCGTAGATAACAAACGGTCCCAAAACTATTCCAAAAGTTTAGTTGTTTTAAAATGAAAGGTGTCTTCTAGGTATCATAAACAAGATTCAAGTTCCCTAGAAGTTAAGGTCTTCTAAAATGTCTTGCACCTCTAGTCCCTCAAAACTTCAATCTGAACACACATAAAAATAAGTCAGACAATAGATTTCCCTTATGAGTTTCTCTTGGTTGATTTTGGAAACTATTCATTAGTAAGAGATACACCGATTGTTTTATGTGAGTCCTCGGTGATTTTTCTTCGTTTGGGACACACGTCTAAGGTGTTTAAAACATATATGTGCTTTACAAATACAATATGTTTTAAATTACATCATAACTGCTTATGAAAACACTTGATTGTTTTATGAATATTGCATATGTCATATGCTTGTCGATGAACATTATTGGAAAACAATGTGCTTAGAGTTATGCATAATTGTGTGTGAACTTACATAACCAAATACCTTTTAGACACTACCGGAGAGGTACCACCCTGCAGTAACCTTGGAAACAAGCTCCAAAAGAATGCAGCAGCCTTAGGAGAAAAGTATTAATTAAGGGCTAATATTTTCTACATTTTTAGTGCAGTAAACACAAAAACTGGTCGCTGAAATTTCGTATGCTTGGTATATGATTACTCTTTATAGAAATTTTATAGGAAAAACTTTTGGGTTATAACATTTTAGAGCAACATACACTAAAAGCATAAGTATCTATAACAACCAACCCTACATGGATAACAACGATCGTCACTATTGGAGAACCCATGGGGACGACTTGTCGCCGCCATAGGGTTGGAGAATGAGAATCGTCCATGGTTCGAGTCTGGCGATCGATTGGAGAAGAAAATTATCCGTGGTCATGGGTCTGGAAACTTGATGATCGATAGTGGAGAGTTTAGGGCTCGGACCGTGGAGAGTTTAGGGCTCGATGTGAATTGGCATTGGGCACCATTAAGGTTGATGTTTATATTGTGCGTTACGTTGATGATGGTCGGCATGGTGGGTTTCTTCTCCTGGTATCATGAAGGAGTCGATGGTGAAGATTGAAGAAGTAATTTATGGAAAAAAAATAAAACAGATTACTCTTGATTCCACAAGATTCTTGACGATTTAACTCTCCGGTATTAAGGGTTTTGAATGTTACCGTGTGCAAGAATATGAGGACGAATGGTGAGTGTTTTTGCAGGGTTAGCAAACTAATTTACCTAATTTAAAGGACATTAAATGTTTTAAATATTTACCAAAATTAAATGTAGCCAAGATTACTATTATACCCTTTTATGATTTATTATTGAATTTATTTTTTCTTAATTCTGATGGATTGTTAGAGGCACACAATACTTGTTGAAAACATTTGAACATAACTCTCTCTCTCTCTCTCTCTCTCTCTCTCTCTCTCTATATATATATATATATATATATATATATATATATATATATATATATATATATATATATATTGTAACACTCCTCACCCTGTTACTTTGAAAATACACATTTAAATTAAATTAGGGTTGTAAGCGAACTGAACGAACACGGACGATGGTTGTTCTTGTTCATTCGTTTAAGTTAGCCGAACAAACACGAAAAAGAACGATTTTTCTTGTTATGTTCGTGTGTTTAACAAATTACATTGTTCATGTTTGTTCGTTTATGTCCGTTAACATGCTAAACGAATATAAACGAACATAGATAAACAAACATAATTGATTATATATTAACACAAAATTGTATGAGTTAGTTTCCTGATCGAACGTAAATTTTGAACCAAAATATAATATAGTAATGTTATCAAACATAATTGAACATGTATGAAAATAAAAGGAACTTAAATGAACGAACATAAATAAAACAACATAAACAAATGTTCATGAACATAATTGAATGAACACAACCATTGTTCATCTTCGTTCATTTTACTAAACGAACAAGAATTTGTATTCATGTTTGATCATTTATTAAATAAACAAACATAAACGAACTTCCCGCCAAACGGTTCACGAACAGTTCATTGAACGTTTAGATAACATGTTTTATTTAAAAATAAAAAGTTTTAAAGTTTTAAAGTTTTCGTAGATAACAAACGGTCCCAAAACTATTCCAAAAGTTTAGTTGTTTTAAAATGCAAGGTGTCTTCTAGGTATCATAAACAAGGTTCAAGTTCCTTAGAAGTCAAGGTCTTCTAAAATGTCTTGCACCTCTAGTCCCTCAAAACTTCAATCTGAACACACATAAAAATAAGTTAGACAATAGATTTCCCTTGTGAGTTTCTCTTGGTTGATTTTGGAAACTATTCATTAAGTAAGAGATACACCGATTGTTCTATGTGAGTCCTTGATGATTTTTCTTCGTTTGGGACACACGTCTAAGGTGTTTAAAACATATATGTGCTTTACAAATACAATATGTTTTAAATTACATCATAACTGCTTATGAAAACACTTGATTGTTTTATGAATATTGCATATGCCATATGCTTGTCAATGAACATTATTGGAAAACAAAGTGCTTAGAGTTATGCATAATTGTGTGTGAACTTACATAACCAAATACCTTTTAGACACTACCGGAGAGGTACCACCCTGCAGTAACCTTGGAAACAAGCTCCAAAAGAATGCAACAGCCTTAGGAGAAAAGTATTAATTAAGGGCTAATATTTTCTACATTTTTAGTGCAGTAAACACAAAAACTAAACACAAAAACTGGCCGCTGAAATTTCGTATGCTTGGTATATGACTACTCTTTATAGAAATTTTTATAGGAAAAACTTTTGGGTTATAACGTTTTAGAGCAACATACACTAAAAGCATAAGTATCTATAACAACCAACCCTACATGGATAACAAAGGTCGTCACTATAGGAGAACCCATGGGGACGACTTGTCGCCGCCATAGAGTTGACCATTTTTTAGACCTTTCGATATATGGGGACGACTTGTCATCTCAACAGGTTAAGCGGGAAAATGAATAAATGCTCTTATATCAAAACTTTAATGCAAATGCAACAAACATTCCTATCTCAAAATCCAAACACCCAAGCACCATAATTTCAATTTACTTATGATCCTTCCCAACGCCAAAATAATCCTCTTGTTAAGTAAAAAAGTGATGAAAATGAAGAAGTTGGAAGTGATTAATATGAAAGTAGTTCTCATGAATCCGATTAGGTTATTTATCTTAGTTTGTATTGTATGAAACATCTAAACAATTTTAAATTAGGTTGTTTGTTTTTGGTAAACCAATTGTGTAAGATATTTTGAAGTTGTTGATTGTATGATATTTGATATGTTTTAGAACTAAATTTACTTTTTTTTGTCTTGTTGTATATAAAAAAACTCTGGGAAATTAAGCAAATAACAGTAACATTTGTGCAACACCTACATCTACAGGGACGACAAGTTGTCGTTATAGGTGTACCAACGACAAAGGTGTACCTATGTGACAACAAGTCGTCGCAAGGTAAACCTCCGGGGATGATAAGTCGTCACTGTACTTGAACCAATGGCGACAATTTATCATTGCTATATATATATTATTTTAATTTTTTATTGTTTTTAAAAAAAACGTAATTCCAGGACCTTACAATGATTATTTGCCGTTCCTACAAGTTTAGCTATGGCGACGACAAAGTAAGCTGAAGCAAAAAAAGTAAGGAGACAAGGCCTATGGCGACAACATATCATCGACGGTGTCTGTAGCAACGACATTGCACCCTATATCAATTAGCAATGGCTTTCGTCGTCCCCATAGGTCTTTAACCTTGTAGTGATACACCGTTAATAGACTTTCATTATCATGCTTAAACTTCAATATACATCATGAGTACTACTATGTCATATTGGTGTATCGAAAATGAAGAACCAAATTGTTTTGAAAAACCAACGGTTAGGCTTTTGGTTTAAAAAAAAATTCAGTTCCAGTTTGGTTTCTTATACACAAAAACCAATAAATAAATAAAAAAGAACCAAACAAAAGTACCAAAAGTTATATCATTCAGTGTATATGCTAATCCCTTCACTTAAAGCCCTTAGTTGGTAAGACATATAAGCTAGTTGTTACTGACCTAAATTAGTTGTCTACAAATTACAATAATAATAAATAAACTTAAGTGGTTGGTATTTGGACGCAATTTGTCGGAAAGAAATAATTCAACAGGTCAATTAAAATACCCAAACATCACCGAAAGAAATAATTCAACAGGTCAATTAAAATACCCAAACATCACCAAACACGGGAAATTTTGCATGGAAAACAACATCTTTCAACAGGTATCCAAAGATCCACCAAGCATATATAAGAAAGTTAACATCCAAAATGGATAAACAAAATCTTTTGTCAAACATCTATAATTATTATAAACTACTCTTGTCAAAGTTATAAAAAATCCATTTATAACCGGTCAATTCTATAAAAATGCAGTTATTTACCCTTATAAACGGATTGTGTATTCTTTACCTGAAATAAAAGTAACTTGTACAGCTTTACATAATCCTACCTGCAAAGAGCAGCCAAAACAGTGAGTTAATGCATGAGTCAACTCGGTATTTTAAAGGATAACCTCATGCAAAAATCATGAAAATTTAGCATCAAAATGACTTAATCATTTATCAAACACTTGCATGCATACAAATTTACTCGGAAAAAAAATGATCTTTCACTTTCCAAGAATTATGGCTGTATTTTCTTATGGTAATAAACCGTTAAAAGAAACAAATACCATTACTACCTTGGTTTGTTTCAAAGTTAAAATTACCTATTTACCAGTTATTACTGTTATAGATAAACTCATGTTCTTGACTCGTTCCAAAAGATTCGGTAAATTTGTCTTTATTTGATGGTGTTTTAGATATTTGACATATAAGTTATATATGTTTGAAAGATATATATGTAGAGTCAAAGATTGTCTCTCCAGAAGATCCCCTTATGAAGAAAGGGAGACTCCAACAGACACTTGTAGGATCATGTCGCACCGATATAATTAAGATACACTAACAATGTCAAATTAGAGTGGGTTTTAAACACAACCAAGTTACGTGAGCAAACCACCAAACTCAATCTCGGCTGTAGTTGAGATAATATGTTAGCAGTTTTCTCAAATAATTTGATTCAAGTTTTGAATTTTTTGATGGAAGGAAAAAATACCTGCAACTCTTCCAAGCTTCCAATTGGTGGACTGGTTTTGGGGAATATGTTTCTGAAGCACATAAGTGCGTGGCAAGACTACTATGCACATGGATTTCATTTTCTGCCTCGTTGATTCTTCAAGCAGCTTGAATCCAAAAGCTTTTGTCCATGTTTCTAAAAGATCAGGATTTGCTGGAATGACCAGCTCCTCAACACCAAGAGAATAGAGAATCTGGAATTTCAGTCATTGTTACAACTTTATTAGGGTGAAAATTTTACTCATTATATTAATTGCAAAATGAGAAATAAATACTGATTTTGAGAGGTATAAATGTAACTTTCACTGAAAGATATCAGAACGTATGGATTCAATCGAATGTAGTAGGCGGCGACACATTCCTTGCCCCCTATAGACTTTACGTGTGCCGATAAAAGGCATTTCTGCAAGCATCTTCCCATGAACCCTGATGTGGTCAGCACATAAAAAATAAAATGTCTGTTAGGATACCCTTCAAATAACACCTACTAGCTACCTCTTGTCTTGATTTATAGAAATGAATTAGAGAAATAACCGTATCGATGCTACGGATATCACTTCATCGTCCTTCTCCATGATTGCTGTGAAAAAACCACCATGATTCAGTCGTTTGAAGTTTGACCTGAAATTTTTTCAATAGATTAGGCCCTAAACGCAATTATTTTACCTACTTTTGTTAATGATGATCTCAAAGATTGTATTTTTTTTTCTTATTTAGGAAGTGAATCAGGATTTTTAACACCCTAGCTATCATAACAACTATTAAGTTTTTTATTCCTTGTACACTACAAAAAGCTTTTTTTAGTGCACACCGTCGCTCCTGTAGGTATGTGTTACTATACTCATATACATATATGTATTAGGCTATAAGGAATGCATGACACATGAAGTGTGCCACCTCACACAACACATATTCCACCTCACCAAAAATACCAAAAAAAAAAATATCAAGTCACTAATATAAGGAAATGGTGTTTAGGTAGTAGAGAAGGAGTGAGATAGAGAGGGAAAGAGAGAAAACAGATGAGAAGAAGAGAGAGATAGACATAGTAGGTCTTCCTCTCTCCGTTGTAAAGCATCGTAGTAGCAGGTCTCACGAGACACCACGCTTAAACAAGGCAAGGGCGGTGTTGACGCTTAACTCATGTATAACTTGCCCTTGCCAAGTCATCTCAAGGAGACCACTCCATATAGCCTTAGGGGCAACATTTGTCCCCCCTTATTGCCCTAAAATCTTATAGCCACAATGATAAGCCTTTCAAAAGGTGTGCAAGTCATGCCATCCCCTTTAAGTCATGTCACCTTTGTCATTCAATATTTGCAAGTTATGTCATCCCCTTTAACCCCACTTTATTATTATTATTTTCTTTCATATAACTATATATATTATTACTAAATAATTTATATTACATAATTTTTAATATTATTTATATTTGTTTGTCAAGTTATTTTATCACATTAATTGTTTATTTTCTAATAAATATTCATCAAAATATTAATATGTGTGTGTGTGTGTATATATACACACACACACACATATATATTAATATTTTGATGAATATTTATTAGAAAATAAACAATTAAGATTTGGTAAAAGTTATAAAATTGTTATTGATATGTCGTGGGTACTTTCGAAAAAGTGTTGGGTATTTCACTGTTATGAGGGATAATTGATTTAACGAGAATTGAAATTACCCGCAGTTGTATACTACATTGCGGATTATGTCAACTCCACTTCTGGTGTCAACAACAGGATGGAAGCACTCATTCATAACCGAAAGTGCAACAGCCAATTTGTAACTACTGCATTTGATCTTTTTGATATCAGTCTCTCGATCCTCGCTACGCTTAAGAAGAGTGAAGGAAAATCCTTCTCGAATTCCAATCTTGACCCCAAGCATCGCCTGCAATCTCGCATAGATCTATATATCAACAAACAAAAGGTTAGTCACTTAATGTCACATATAACCAAAAAAACAAACTAGTTCAATCTGATCCAGTTCTGAATCAGAACCATATCAGTAATTTTATATTTTTTTATTGTTCAAATTTGAAATGACATTATTTTAGGTCTATACCTCAAGACATGTCTTTCCACAGAGAAATAGATCACCATAGTCTATTTTTGCAACATTTGTTTGTCCGCACGCTTTATGGACTATAACACATACACAAATCATTAGCAAGATTCACTAGATTTTGTAACCAAAATGGAAAGAAATTGAATCCTGATTACATACATTTGTCATCGCACAAGCAACATGACAATATCCAATCAGGAATACAACTTTGCAAATCAAACACAACACCTCCACAAAATTTGCAAGAACAGTACATACAGTACCATCGATCAGAAGGCAACTTCTACAATGCACAAATTAAAAAAACATTATAAACAAAAACATCTAAATGTAATTAATATAAAAAGAATCAAAGAAAACAAGGAAAAACGGCACACTTATTACTTGGATTTGAAGGCAGCTCAAATGAAATGTTGCAGGGCAACCATCGCAACAAACTAGTTGACCATCATCACCACCACAAATATGACATATATCTTCATTGACCCCAGTAGTATCAATATAATTATACCCGATAACATTTGATGATTTCTCATCTAATCCATCACCGGAATCCTTTTCCATTTCCATATCCATCTCCGGTTCTTTCTTGATTTTTACATTCTTATCTCCCCTTGCCTTTCTAAGAGCTCTAAGTACTTTTCTCAATTCCGATTCTGGTATCGGAGTAAATGCTGAAATCTCATCACTATGAGTTTCGGGGGTATTTCCACTTGCATACATCATGCAAACTCCACTTGTTCTAACACATACACAACAGAAGGTGATTTCTCCGGGATGGAATTATTTCTTGATTTCTCGCACATTATCGACTTATTTGATCTCAATGTCACGATGATAACCCCTACAAAATCAAACTGGAATATTTTAGAATGAAGGTTATCTTCAGATGTGCCTCCTGAAAGTGAATTATGTGCTACTGAACAGTGGAAATCAGATAAGCAGTTGTAAAAAGAATGTAGTTAAAGGCATATCAATTTTATTGAACACAAATGATGAGAAAGACTCAAGAACAATCAAGAACTAGAATTGATTGACCATCAAGAACTAGCATAAATGAACTTTCTAGGAGAGCAATTGACCTCCGATTATTCACAAGAATCTAAGCACGATTGTTTAGATCCACAAGAATCTAAGCAAAATTCCAGCACACAAAATAACAGGAATTTAAGAACAAGTAAACGCTGGAATTGATTGATCATCATAGCACAAATGAACCTACTAATTAAGCAATCGGTCTCAGATTTTTGCTAATTCACAAAATCTATGTATAATTCATGCACAAAATAACACAAATTCAAGAACAAGAGTGATTGATCGTTATAGCACAAATGAACTTGCTAATTAAGAAATTGGTCTTCGATTCTTCCAAATTTACAAGAATCTAAGCAAAATTCATGCACAAAATAAGGATTTTTGATAGATCGTTGAGGCGTCGCACTTCACAATTTAAAAACCCAAATTCAACTTTTGTGAACTTAAAAGCATCTAACCAAAATTCATCCATAATTTTGACAACGATCAAACGCGAGAACCGCTTCACCGTCGCATACACCAATGCACATTTGAATCAAACAATCAAACGGTATCTACTTCTAAAATCGGCGCACAAATTACTAACCAAAACTACAAAACCCGTCAAGAATCAAACCCTACACTTGCTCAATTGACGCAATAAACTAAAACCGAATAAACACGATCTTAAAAAATCCGAAAGCAGAAATTCCGTTTGAAAATATCAATTTTTTACCTTACAAGCTAAAGAACAATGACGCGAACTTGAAGAACGATTCGATTTCAGTGTATTGTTTATATGCGTTAATAAGCTTTGAAACAATGAGTAAAATTGCAACGCAACTCTTTTTGAAACCAAACCCACAAAATTCAATTGAATTGAAGGACCAACCTATCAAAAATAGATGATATTCCCCAACTTGTGCTTCCTATAAAATTTAATTCATGTTAACTTTTTTATGCTAATAAAAGGTTCTATAAATTACATATTGCTTTTGTTGAAGCAAAAGCTTATTAGTTGTTGGCTTCTCAACCTCACCAGCTGCCTGAGACGCTTGATTATCCTGTAAACATGAAATTGTAAAGGTATGTTAATATATAAAAAAAATTAAAAAAATTATTTCTTTAAAAAATCTCCAACAATGCCAAAATTGGTTTAAATGTTAAATGAAAGAAAGAGAAAATAGTTATATTGATTTGTTTATCATAGCAACCTACTTTCAATTATTATTAAAGGATTGTACTTCAAATAAATATGTCTAATTACGCCAATGTCATCTAAAAACAAAAGAATTTTCACCAATACAATATCATAGATTTTCGAAATACAATGAGCTAATATGAAAAAAGTTGGAAGTACAATGTTATAACTGGTTTGATCTTTCAAAGTGCAATGCCTTGATAAAGAAAATTAGAAGTATAATGCTATAATTAAATAGTTTTTTCAAAGAAAAATGTTAAATATTAAAAATGGAAGTATCGTTGCTATGGTTGGGTAGATTTTTCAAAGCAAAATGTCTTTCATAATATAAAAATAATATTAGAATGCTACCATTGGGTAGCTTTTCCAAAGCCCAATGGCCCAATAATAAGGGAGAATAAAAACGGAAAGCATAATACTATAACCTGGTTTCCAAAGTCCAATGTGTTTATAATACAAAAAACAAAAAATTGAAAGTCCAGTGCTATAATTTGGGAGATTTTCCAAAGCAAAGCACATCATTAATGGAAAAAGTAAAAGTACAATGTTATAACTCGGTAGATTTTAAAAGCAATTATTCGTGTATAACTAGGTAGAAGTAAGAACCTGTTCTATAACAATTCCATTAACAGGTCGGGCAAGAATTGCATGTGACATAAAATAAATTTTGATTTATAAAACCCTTGGTTTTTAACTTATAAAATAAGGTTAAACGTTGATGGCTTAAATTTTATTTTCTTGATTAATTTCCTAATTTTTTATTATTCCAAATTGATATTATAAGGTTCATAATTATTTTTATAGAATGTATGGTGTTAAACTTATAAAAATTTAGGTTTTTAGGGCTTTTAGGGTTTTGAGGAATTTGTAAATCTTTGGATTACAAAATCAATTGGATTTTTGAGACTTAAAATTATTTTAGAGTTTCATAACTCTTTTTAGGTGGAAATAATGTTTGTAATTCGTTTTGTCAGATTATTGACATTCTATGTAGTGGTTTTATGAATTAAGTGAAATGGAAGAAACATGTAACACTCGATTCCAGGTATGAAATTAATTCCAAATGTCATCATAATTCTCTTTGAACACGACGTGGTGAAGCCTCACCACGGCATGTTGATAGGCCTTTGGGCCACGAACTTTATTGAACCAACACAGTGTGTTTGTGTCATTACACGGCGTGTTGGCGGCTAGTGGAGAAACCCTAATTTTTAGGGTTTTGCACCCTATATAAAGGCCTTAAGTCCTCATGGCTGGCCTCCTTACCAGCCTCCATTGCCACTAAAACCCTAAAATCAATCCTTAAGTCTCTTGGTGGTGTTTTTGAGCTAGTAAGAAGTTCTTAGTGCTCATTTTTGGCCTTTGTGAAGGAAAAGGAGATCTTGAAGTTGTCTTGCTTGGTGGAAAGTCTTTGGATCCAGAATCATCTTCTTTTGTGCAAGTTTTCTAAGGTATCAAGTTTGAACCTTGACTTATAAATGTTTAGATCTCTTCATATTGTGCTTTGTTATGCTTTTGGTCTCTTTTTGGGTTGATGAGAGAGTGAAGTCATTTTAAGGGCTTGTTATTCCATATCTGAGTTTGTATTGGACTCCTTGAGCATAAAGGTGCAAGCTTTATGAGATAATTGGTTACATGCATGCATTAAGTCACTTATTAAGTCCCTTTTAAGCTTAAGAGCTTCATTTAGACCTGCATGAACGTAAAGTTGGCAACTTTACGTGGTTTTCCATCTCAAGGAAGTCAGATCTATGTTTTGGGGCTATGTATTTAAGGATTAGATGCTTATTGGTTAAGCCCTTGCACTATCAAGCCTTTGGTTTGGGTTTTGGACCCTTTTTGGTAGTCCCTATGGGTAAAGTTGGAAACTTTACCCTTCTAAATCTCATTTCGGTTGGCTCCTCCCGAGATGCAGGAGTTGTCTACACAGCTGCAGGAGCTGTTAGACAAGGGATTTATTCGACCGACCAGTTCGCCTTGGGGAGCACCAATTCTATTTGTGAAGAAGAAGGACGGGTTTCATCGTATGTGCATCGACTACCGGGAGTTGAATAAGGTAACGGTGAAGAACCGTTATCTACTTCCGAGGATTGATGATCTTTTTAACCAGCATCAGGGTGCATCGTGGCTCTCCAAGATTGATTTGTGATCGGGCTATCATCATATGCGGGTCAGGGATGAGGATGTGCAGAAGACAGCTTTTTGGACTCGTTATGGTCATTACGAGTTCGTGGTGATGCCTTTTGGGCTCACCAATTCTCCAGCCGTGTTCATGGATCTCATGAACTACATGTTCAGACCGATGTTGGATCGGTCTGTGATAGTATATATTGATGATATCTTGGTTTATTCCAAGACCCAGGAGCAGCATGAGGAGCACTTGAGGGAAGTGCTAGAGACATTGAGGAGGGAGATATTTTTCCCAAAGTTATCCAAGTGTGAGTTCTGGTTGCGTGAGGTGCGGTTTCTGGGGAACCTTGTCAATCAGAAGGGTATTATGGTCGATTCGGCCAAGGTTGAGGCCATGATGTAATGGGAGGTTCCGAGGTCTCCATCTGAGATTCGGAGTTTCCTTGGTTTAGCTGGTTATTATCGGAGATGTTGGGTTTTGGTATACTACAACATCCTATGGTGCACATACAACCCTAAATACCTTGGATCTATGTTTTCACTAATTATACATGCAAATGGTTTCCAAGGTATTAATCTTACAACTAGCATGCATTTAACATAAAATTATAATATACTAGTTAGCATGACATACCTTTTGATGGAGCTTGAATTCTTGGTGTATTTGGCCTTAAAGAGCTTAGCCCCAATAGTGTGGAAGCCTCAAATGGAATCACAACACACCATGGACAAAGGATGAACTTGAGAGAGAATTCCATGCACACAAAAGACACCATGAACTCTAAAAAGATACAAGTGGCGATTTTGGGCAATGAAGTATCTATTTATATGTGGGATTTCTAGGGTCATGGATATAACCCAAATCCATACCCATGGGTTTTATGATCCATGGTTCATGTGGCCCAACTCTTTATGTATCCATACATAAACTTGGTCCAACATGGATCATAAGCCCAACACATATAAATATAACTAATTATCATAATTAGTCCCCATAGATTTAATTAGTCTCTTTCGACCACTAAATTAATTCCAAATTAATTCTTGATCACTACTAATTAAAACATATGATTTCATATTAATATATTATTACTTATAATATATTAATAAACCATAAATAACCTTCTCTCAAAAGTCCATCCTAACAAATTGTCCTGATGATATGCAACCCAAATGGACCATGCTACTCTCGGGTCGAATACATACCAATAATAGTTATGGGCTTAGACACCTAATCCAACAGTCTCCCACTTGGATAAGTCTAAAACTATTATTCAAGTATGACTCCAAGATCCCGACTAGCAATCGTAGCTCTTAAAGCCACTGTCAAACTCTAAACAAATCAAATGACATGTCCATTAGATAAGGGATCATATAT